AGCCACAATACAACACTCCACCAATTAACGCCTTCCACGAGCTAGATACCACCACCTGTTTACCCATACCTATAAATATCCACCAACGGTAATCACAATTCACACAACATTCAGCCTTGATAATGGATGCAGAACGCATTCGAAACGCGTCGGGCCAACTCATCACTATCCACAACTTTTACCCGTTGTTCTAATAACGTTGAAACGGCTTATCGACTTCTTGAGAAGAATTCTAAGAAGAGAGTAAACCTACAGACATCGGTCTTGTTTAACAAAATCTGTCACCAAAGTACACTAACTATTGTAAGTAAACGTAAATATCAAAGTGTGGAATTTCTGTTCTGTATATATTGTTAAACTGTTAAATTTAGATTGTATAATGAAAACTGGCATGTCTTGAACTTGTTTTCACAATTTGGATAATTAATAATAACTCAAAATTTATAGTATACTGTATTCCTAGAAATCCTGAGATTCTGACTGTTACTACTAGCACTAATAACTCAAAAGTTGTAGTAAACTGTATTCCTAGAAATGCTGAGAATCTGACAGTTACTACTAGTACTGATAACTCAAAATTTATAGTAAACTGTATTCCTAGAAATCCTGAGATTCTGACAGTTACTACTAGTACTGATAACTCAAAAGTTGTAGTAAACTGTATTCCTAGAAATCCTGAGATTCTGACAGTTACTACTAGTACTGATAACTCAAAAGTTATAGTAAACTGTATTCCTAGAAATCCTGAGATTCTGAAAGTTACTACTAGTACTAATAACTCAAAAGTTGTAGTAAACTGTATTCCTAGAAACCTGAGATTCTGACAGTTACTACTAGTACTAATAACTCAAAAGTTGTAGTAAACTGTATTCCTAGAAATCCTGAGATTCTAACAGTTACTACTAGTACTAATAACTCAAAAGTTAAGGTATAATTTATTCCTAGAAACCTGAGATTCTGACAGTTACTACAAGTACTAATAACTCAAAAGTTATAGTAAACTGTATTCCTAGAAATCCTGAGATTCTGACAGTTACTACTAGTACTAATAACTCAAAAGTTATGGTAAAATTTAATCCTAGAAACCTGAGATTCTGACAGTTACTACTAGTACTAATAACTCAAAAGTTATGGTAAAATTTATTCCTAGAAATCTTGAGATACCAACAGTTACTACAAGAAATGCAGAGATTCTGACAGTTACTACTAGTACTAATAACTCAAAAGTTATGGTCAAATTTATTCCTAGAAATGCTGATATTCTGACAGTTACTACTAGTACTAATAACTCAAAAGTTATAGTAAACTGTATTCCTAGAAACCTGAGATTCTGACAGTTACTACTAGTACTAATAACTCAAAAGTTGTAGTAAACT